GGCCCAAGCGGTTAGAGCACGAACTTACTCACCGGAAGGTATGTGGTTCGAATCCAACCTCTGCCTGTCGACTTACCCTGTCTAGGCTTGGGCAAATTGGCAGTATATCAGCCCTCGTGCCTCCTTTGTGTGGCATGGCAGCTAGGCACCGAAAGGGTGCTACAGCTAAACAATTTCTTTTCTAATCTGTCTGTCCTAGGTCCCCATCCGAGAGGCCGATGGTTAACAGCGTGAGTGAATTTGGTAGTTAGGGCTGTCACGTTTCGAACTAATTGGGCGCATTGGATCCTTTGTGTGCATGGCAGCTAGGCACCGAAAGGGTGCTACAGCTAAACAATTTCTTTTCTAATCTGTCTGTCCTAGGTCCCCATCCGAGAGGCCGATGGTTAACAGCGTGAGTGAATTTGGTAGTTAGGGCTGTCACGTTTCGAACTAATTGGGCGCATTGGACATACAGATAAAGCCGAAGTGACTGTAGTGCGCATCCACGGCGAGAAGCCAGCCACGATCAAACATCAAGTACTTGAAACCAGGAGATTACCAGCCGAACAGAATGTTTTGGTATTTGCACAGCAGTCGAATGGTAAACGAGACAGTAGGACGGAACCATAAAAGAGCGTGGCACATCCAACTACCTACGCACCTACATGGCGATCAATGCATGCCACAAGAATGTGCAAATTACCTGACCATGAACGACGAAACCAAGAGTTTGTTTTTTTGGTGAACCCCACAAGAACGGCAACAAAGAAGTAGACCACATGGGACAAGTTCGAAAACACCTGGATGGCGTTGGTTATCGAAAATTTATTTTGCGTTTTTAGTTTGAAGCAATATTATTATCGCTACCACTGGTTTTCATCAGCTCCTCATAGGTTGTTGTTCCTCCCGAAGCGTCCATATGCACAGGGCAAGTTAGCGTGGCTACTCAGATGTCGCGACTATTCCCAGCGGAAGACGTGGAGTTCAGTGAGTCTACAGATTGCGGTAGCTAACAGAGGGCTGACCAAAGCAAATGCTCGGTCTCTACACCGCAAACAGGTTATAGGCCTGAGTGTTCTATACCACTATGACAATATGAATCCAAGTTTTTAACTGACGATTAGGTAGATAGATTCTAGGTATAGTGCCGCTGCAGAACAAAATCTAACCACTGAAGTCACTATTGCTGAATGAGACTTTAATTTTAGCAAATTTGCAAGCCAATGGAGCGTTATTTCTCCCCGTAAAGTGTGCGCCGAACTGCAGCCAAGATTCTGGTTGGCTCATTAAAGCAACGCAACCTTTTGAGCGCCTGAGTTTTGATTCTGAATGTCCTTTGCCATCCTATACGCGCAACCGCTACTTACAATAGTTGACAAGTTCTCTAGATTCCCATTAGCGTGTGCGGATATAACCTCGGCAACTGTGACTGACCGTCTCACACAAATCTTCTGTCTGTTCGGAATGCCAGCCTATATCCATTCCGACAGAGGCTCATCGTTCATGTCGTCTGAGATCAATAGCTTTCTTGTAAAGAATGGTGTCGCTATGAGTCAGACATCGGCTTATGATCCACAGTCAAACGGTCAAGTTGAGCGCCTCATCGGTGGTACCCTATGGAAAACAATAAGCATGGCGTTGAAATCTCTCAATCTCCTGACTTCCTATTGGGAATCGGTACTCTCTGATGCTCTACACAACCTCCGATGACTGTTATGTACAGGCACTAACTGTATTCCACACGAACGTTTGTTTCAATACACACGCCGCTCAACATTTCGAATATCGTTGACATCTTGGTTAACCACCCCTTGTCCAGTTCTTCTACGATGAGATGATAGGTCATCGAATTATCAACCACCAGTACAAGAAGTCGATCTTCTGAACTGCAACCGACACTACGCGTATATTGCTCATCGAGATAGAAGAGTCGAAACCGTGTACCCTCGCAGCCTAGCCCCAGCGATTCGGAATACAACTGACGACGCTCTCAACCTATCTGANAATCCAATGGGATACCGAACTCCCAGAAACTGGACGTCAGCCCGATAGCTCCCTACGGTACCGTCCTCCGAAGACCAACCGAGTTATCCTGAAATTCTAGAACAGCGATGCGTTCATCCTTAGTCTGAGGAACAGAGAAGCCTGACTCAGTACATCATCTATCTACGTCAGTATATATGTGCCTATTCAAACAATTCCGGGGTGAATGTCACGATTTTTGTCCGTTTATTATTAAACTTACCCCATATGCTCGTATTAAACCTTTGTGTGTATATTTTAGCTCACCCACGCTTGTCCTTAGATAAGTAAAACGTTTTTATACTCGATAACCCGGACTCGTTCTCGCATACATTCTACACGTCTCAGTACCCATAAGATGAAAATGTGCAAATGGAAACCCCAAATTTGCAAAGTTTTGAGCGTAGGTTCACTTCACCTCATTGCATTGCGTTCTCGAAGTTTGAGGACTGCTTTTTTAGAGATAGTAATACACACATTTACTTCACCTTTTACTCCAGGTACGCAAGTATGGTCAAGAGTGGGCGAAACTCGCTGACGCCTGGGACTGACCGAAGGTAACACAGCGATAAATTTTAGCCAACTGGAGTTCGCGCGATGATAAGTCGGCTGGAGGTTACTAGTATTTTTGCTTCCATAACGAAACCTGTGACCCATAAATCTGCACCCGCACAACCGGAAAGTACCTGTTGTATCATCCAAACTACGGCGAATTTGCCATGTCATAGCAGGCAACCTTGTTTTAGTAGAGTTGTTATTGTGAATGTTCTGCTTCCCTAAATGTTTTTGAGCGCGTCCTTGGATTCAGCAGCAAATATGCGAGATGGATCAAGTGGGTAGAGCGCGAATTTACTGACCGGAAAGTCAGTGGTTCGAACCCGACCTCTGTCTCTCGACTTCTCCTGTCTACGCTTGGGTAATCTGGCAGTGTCCCAGCCATCGTGCATACTTCAAGTGGCATGACAGCTAGGCGCTAAAGGGTGTTACAGCTGAGCGAATACTAATTCAACTGTAACACTTTCTCGATGTCTAGGTGACACGCTACCCGAAGGAGGAACGAAGGCTGAACAAGGAGACGTTGGGATGTAGAGGTCGCGTTCAAACTACGGACCTTGCAGTCAGTAAATTCGCGTTCTAACAACTAAGCCAACTCGAGCACTGGGTCATCTTCGTGGAGACGGGCAACGTAAGGAATCAGTTGGTGGAGATACGAATAAAGCATGAGTCTTACAGCACCCAATCGTATTCCTCTGGGAATAGCCAACAAGGGAAGTGGTCTTTAGTCAGTCGCACACGCGTAGTTTTCACAGCAGAGCAAAATAAGCGTTGTAATGGATCAAGATGAGACGCACGCCTTGAAAGCTTCAGGTTTCCTACCTTTTTGAGAATCCCCATTAACCCGTTTCCATATGGCGATTCACGAAGGACGTACGTTGAACTACCGTCCAAGTTGCTGAATTGACCTGAGGCTATTGTGGGTTGATTAAGAATGAGAATAAGATGGCCGACCCGTCAGTCTGCCTTAAACTCAGTCAATTTCGGTTTCCCGTAGAAGGTACACAAACCAATTAACAGCGCCCATTGCAGTCAGTAGTCTAAATTGATCCTGATGATTCCTTCTGATAGATCTTCAAAACTACATATTCTGCCCAGTCCTTCGGTGTTCGGTCTTTCTGTGCTATAAAGTGGACCCAATCTTGTAACATGGACGACAAAAGCGGTCACTATAAAGTTTGTGTAAATGCAATTACCCACTCACCGCTCGAAATGGCTCAGTGGTTGAGGAGCTAGCTTACGGACCGGAAGGACCGTTACAGGTTGCAGGCTGCACGATGGCTGGGACACTGCCAGGTTGCCCAAGCCTAGACAGGGGAAGTCGAGAGGAAGAGGTCGGGTTCGAACCACGGACCTTCCGGTCAGTAAATTCGCGCTCTAACCACCTGGGCAATCTCGCCCCCCAGAAGGTCCGCGGTTCGAACCCAATCTGAGCATCTCAACTGTTCTCGTTTAGGCCTGGGCAATCTAACAGTACACCAGTTTTCGTGCATCCTTCCGTTGTCATGGCAGCTGAGCACAGAAAGGGTGCTGCAGCTGAACGGCTTTGTTTATAGAAACCTCAAAAGGCTTGTACAGAAATGAAAAATAGTTTCGAAAAGTAATTAAAAACTAGAGAGCACCTTGGCACACTACACAGGTTGCACCAATTGGGCCAGGTCCTGTGAACATCGTGGGGTTGTATGTTTTTTTTCGCGGTCTGCCTACTAGAAACAATCCAAAGGCTTTCGGAAGATGAACTGGAATCAAAGCGTCTTAAGCAGTAATCAGGGCTATTTGTTTGGTCCCGTGGTTACAAAACCTAATAGAGAGCCCAATTATGACGCTAGTAGCTTCAAACTGGTCAAGCAATGGCCTGCTATATCCATCTCCCCCCTGTAAAAAAGATCTGTGCCAGCTCAAACCCTGTATCTCGATAGGCAGCCTAAGAAGGGTGAAGGCTGCGCATGTGACTTGTCGATTACAAGGTCAAGTGACCTACTCAGCCAGGCTCAACAAGTGCGAAACGCATTACGTGTATTTATTGGATTTTTTTATAGGATTTTTTTATAAACCGACACATGTTTTCTTATTGAATGTCTGGTCACATTTGGGACCCGGTCCCCAATTTTCCAATAATGAAGATCGGAACCCAGAAAGGATAAATAGTTTTGCTATTTAAGAGTGTCAACCCACTTAGGAAGTGAACAGCTGAACCGAATACAAGACGGTCTAGAACCCAGCACAGACTTCAGTGGAACCACGGCCTGACATTCAACGAGACATATTATCAGTTAATTGCCGAAAATCCAGGAAAATCACTTACAATACAGATCCCATTCGCAGCCTAGTGAAAGGGTGTTACTGCACAGGTCGTGAATAGTCTGTTCAGTTGTAGAACCCTTTCGGTACCTAACTTCCATGCCACCTAAAGGAAGCATAGGGACTGGGATACTGTCAGGTTATCCAAGCCTAGACAGCATAAGTTGAGAGGCAGAGGTTGGGTTCGAACGACGGATTTTCTGGTCAGTAAATTCGCGTTCTAACCACTGAGCCATCTCGCCCGGCTAGGGAATAGAAAGAGCTAGCTATCAAGTAGAGCGCTCATATCTACAGAATATCGTGCGCTATAATCCAAAATTATAAGGTAGCACCTCCGTCGTTACCTTCCTATGGCTGACAGTGAGCAGAACAAAGCAGGCCATGTTCTAATGGTACCACTAACTTCACATTTAATCTCGGGGACTGTTTTTATAAGAGCCGGGTTGTTGATCAACACTATAAAGACCTTCAAATGTGAGTACTCAACAAAGATGGGAAAAAGATGCAGTAGTATATCTACAGAAGAAAACTGTAAAACATACTTGAAGGTGCCGAACTGCTGTGGACGGGATACTATGTGGCCATCCCCGAAACCAAATCCCAACGATAAGCCGTCTAGCAAAGTGGAAGCGGGTCTACTTCCGCCGTTACTGTTGTCAGCGCACGTCGGTTGCAGATGGGGTCTGTCCAGGGGGGTTGAGTGACACGGAATATACTGCACAGAGGAAGTTTGTGTCGTTTCCTTTGCTCGAGATCGCGATACCTCCTTCAGTTTGGATGTGTTTTCCGTCCGTAGTTGTTGCCAACGCTCTGGATCCGAATTACGACGACATCGCACAGATGGTTGACTGACGTTGTGGGAATGCTCATCATTATCACCAGCTGCGAATGTTGACAGATGGGAGGACATTTCTGAATGGCCATGTTGTGTATGGATTCGTTCCAACCCACTTAGCTGCCCACAATCACTCTGGTCCGCGGACGCTGACACAATGGGGCTGGGCTGCATAACTGAGTTGGTGGCAAGTACATCCGGAGGGTGACAGTCCTGCTGAAACGATGCGCTAAATAGGCCACCATTAAAACTGGATCGGAAACGAATGTTATCGGTGTAGAACGGAGAAGTTGGAGTGACCGTATGCCGATGCCGTAATGACAACGAATGCCGGTGAGAGGCCGAGAAACGGCTAGAGGATGTGATAGAATGTGGGCAGGCTGGAGAGCGACAGGAATGATATAAGCTGACAGAAGGATGGTCAATCAGACTGTACAGTCGTCGATAGAGGCGCATTTGGTTTGACGATTGAGTTGAATGTAGATTGTGGTGTGGGCAACAGTGATGCTTGTCACTGCTCGTTGTGAGCACACTACCAAAGCTTCCGCGGCTGGTGGACGGGGGTTGCGTGCTGGGTTCTACATCTATGGAACTCAGACCAGCTCCGTAGGAGCGTCTCATTTTGGAGGAATGATATGCCCGTTGCTGGTCCAACATATCATTCATGGCTCCGGTGCAGGAAAAATCAAAATTTGTTGGAAGAGTGCTGTAAAGTAAACCGGCAGACGTTGTGAACGGCGAAAACCCGGAAGAGGATGCCGGTAGTCCAGTTCGGTTAACGAAACGAGCTGGGGGGCTATCCGTACCGAGGTGTAACGAGCTGTCCATACTTTGGCGATACGGCGCACAGTCCGCCGTAGCGACATAAGCACGTGTGCGATTAGCGACGGTGCAGCACTCGCAAACACATGAAGTACACAACCCACCGTCACCACCGTCCGCGCCGCGAGGGTTGTGTGAACTACTGGTGGTTGAAGAAACAGAGCGGGTCAACCGACAGCGGAGATTGCCATCAATGGTAGAACTGCTCAGAATACCAAAAGAGTTTGTGGCCCGGCCGCGGAGCGAAAGACGAGAACGACGATCCGTTCTGGAAGTGCAAAAACAAAAGGTACAGTTAAGCGCGCTGCTCGAGTAAAATGAAATGAACAGCATCATGGATAACAATACACTAGTAGCTGCGTGAAAACATGGGGAAAATGGCTCAGCCGTGGCATTAGTTTGGTGCATAGTTAGCATGAAAGTCAAATGTGATACAAAGACTGACACATTCCCGGATCACCCAAATGTGGATGCTATTAACGGGACTGGTCCAGTAACACTTGCAGACATTGCCCAATATAATCCAAGGGCACGGCAAGAAATGAACACCAGGTACAAAGTCCAATTAAAAAGTGGCAGCAATTTCACCATTAAGATTAATGACACATCGTGCTCTGTACAGTTTCCAGTTAGGTGCCGAGAGAATTGCATGGGCCTAACCAGAAAGGCGCTGAGATCCTATGATTTGACAACAACAGCTTTTAGCTAACATTGCTACTTCATACCCTGTCTCCTGCAAACCTGCAAGCCACGGCTTAACGCAGCCTCTTTCGTGAACCCAGAGATACACAAGAGTGAGGGGTGCTGACGTTACAAAACAGATGCCGCAACTCTTTCTGTTCAGAGGGATTTATGCTGGGGCCTGATCGAAAAGTAGCTGTGCTAAATGCCAGTCTGTCACATTCCCATAAGTTCGGCCTATGGTAAGAAGTCTGTGTACCACGACATAGGAAAAGTGAAAGGCAGGGATAACCAACTTGAAAAAGGATTACTGGTGTGAATAAAATGAATCAGATGATACTGATCCCTGTACCGCGCTGTTTCGGAGAACACCTTAACCAGGTATGGTCATCTTACTCAGAATCACGTCCGGGAAGCCTCAATGAGCTGACAGAAAAAGTGGGCGGTTGGTGCTTTGATGCTCTTGCGCCATGTTATAAGTGGACCCCCATAGCTACTTCCAACCCAGTTCAGTGCCCAGAACCAACCCAACATATCAAAATGACCTTTATAAATCGTACAAGTGGCTCAATACGTATCGACTACATGATGACGATTATTAAAACTCGCTGCTAACACCATTCCAGGCTTGACACAACACTGTATTCAGTGGGTCAGGCAATTTGGGTCGGTGATACCCTTGCGTGGTGAATGCTCCAGCTTTCTGGCCCAAAGATGATTGCTGAACTCCAGTTCTGCTTCATGCTTCCAACTTCCACTTCAAGAGACTAGGTGGTTGGGTTTCGGGACATCGACCAAGGTGTTCAGATAACGAAGCCTCCGTCTGCAAGGCTATTTTTTCATATTCACCTAACCATACAGAAGCTGCTACGCGATGTTGTTCCCGTCCTTTCGCCAAACATGTGCCAGTCAATATAGCCTCTATTCCATCGAAGCGTGTCCGTCGTAGAACCTCCACAGCCAGCATTCATTACTTCTATTGGACCCGAGTATTAAGTACTGCGTATGAAAGTCGCCCAAGTATAGCACACTGCGCAGAAATCCGACCTAAAGTTGCCACCTTTACGTGGTGGTCGGGCTTGAGTGACGCAATTATCCCGCGGGCTACACTTCCTGGAACTTCGTTCCACAAGGTGCAACCAGGCCAAGAAGGTTAACAGTAAAGAGACCCCGTACTAAGAGTAATTGTGCAACGAGGCTTTCTGGGGATTAAGTCGTACTGTCCTCGGCAAAAGGAGTATGAAGGCAGTAAGGTGTGCCTCCCCCCAGGCGATCCCATATTCATGGAAGCAGCGATGCTGCCCTCTCCCAAGGAAGGACAGGTTAGAAAAGGTGGGCCCTGAAAACCACCGAGAGCATTATTCAACGAGGTCAAAATATGCCTAAAATCAGAGTCCGGTGCTGCTCAAAAAGCACTTGCTGGACATAGTCATTTCAGGAGTGAAGTAGTAATGCCCCCTGCGCCATCGGGTTACGTTTACCCCAGCAGCCGAGTAGGTCACACTATTGAGCCAACGGCTCCGGGCGGGGCCCCCAATGAAAACCCTACAGTCAAACGCATCGCTTTTCAGAGTGCTGAGTTAGAGGCTACGGTCAGGGTCCCCGAAAGAGACCCTCCATTCTCCCATTGCCCTGTGGGTCAGACTCTAGAGTCAAAGACTGAAGGTGGGGTACCTCAACCAAACCCCTTTCCTCGGCCCGGGCAACCGGGAAGTGCCATTTGCCCGCGCAGTTCGGTGTCCACCGATGTCCCTCCACAACCCCTTTCCACCAAACAAGCAAACGTCGCTGGGCCATTTGACTCAGTTATCTGACCAAAGAACCTTATGCTCCCCGGTGCATACTAACAATGAACAAAATAACACCTTACTAAATCCACGAGACCCTTTCTATATAGCAGCCCTTAATGTCCGTACTATATGTCAAGTTGATAAGCAGAAAATGCCCGCTGAAAACTTATACTCCCTTAAAATTTATACTGTTTCCGAAACACGCAAACAAGAACCAAGCGCCGTTGTACATCTCAGAAAGTCAAGGGTTGAATCAGATATTTCACATTTCTTCCTCCGTGTGTCCGGTGATAAAGAAGCAATGAAGTGGAACATATGGCGTGGGAGATGCACTCTTCCCTAGAGCTGAACACGCTTTCTTGGATTGTATTCCAGTGAACGAGCGTTTTTCCGCCGTCCGGTTATCAAGCATAACCAAGCTCAATGCCTCTCGACATAAGAAACGGTGCCTGTTTGTAAAGCGAGCTTACGGCCAGAAAGATTCTGTCGAGAGCTATCTGGGCATAACCATCGACAGTGTGATACTTGCCGGCAATACGAATGCCCAAATAGGTCGTCTGAACTCTCTGGAACCAAATCTGGGCGGTCGATTCGGAGTCGATACTCACGGCACAGACAACGGAGAGCGACTCCTCCAGTTGTGCACTGATCATCAACTGTTTCTGGCCGACATGAACTTTCAGGATAAACGCTTGCATCGCGCAACCTGGAAATCATTAATTGCAAATTAACCGTAGACCCAGTTGGATCACGTGGCCACCAGCCACCGGCTGAGAGCCAAATTGCAAGGCTGCCCTTCCTTCTACAGCACACAACTTGATTCCGATCACGCCATGGCGAGTGCAAACCTGACAGTTCGTTTCCCTTCAGGCCCTCACGAATCAGCAACAAGCGTGCAAACCCATCTTCGAAGGATTACAATAGCTCAACAACCTGGGTTAGCTCAACAGTACCGACCTGGGTTATCTCAACAACTCTCCACAACAAACAAATACTGTACTGGTAGTGAGCACGTGAATGAAGCACGGCAAAACGTGAAAAGTGCTATATCAGTGGCGTTCAGTGCCGTCCGTCCGGCTTCTCCGACTCAACCACAAGACCGCTGGATATCGTTAAGATTGCTAGTCCGGATTGATACAAGAAAGTCTACACCAGGCGAACATAAATCCCTCAGACGCAAAACAGCGAAGAACCCGCAAAAGACCGAGAACTCTGATGGATATCGAGAGAATTGAGAAGGCTTTTGCTACCTGAAATAGCCGTGTTCTATATCAACTGATACAATCGACCGGCCATAGGGAAGCAACGGGCAGTGGCATGATAAATAAAAAAAAGGCAGTTCAGTGATTCAGTAGAAAAACACCGACTGCTAAAATGAGCTGAGCACTTCGAAGAACAGTTTTGGCCTCCTTCAGCACAGCCTGTGCATATGGGGGAATCGAATACAAACCTTAATCACCCATCCGAAGAAATAAGTCGATAAGTAAATAAAGTAGTGGAACGTAAGAAGGCACCGAGACCGGTCGGTCACTATGCAGCGTTATTCAAAAAAAGGCGGAGAATCCCTGAAAGCCCATCCAACAAAACTTAGTGGCGGGAGATGGAGTGAACAGAAAGTCCCTGTGGAATGGGCCATGCCGACAGTTATCCCTATCTTCAAAAAGAGTACGCGGAAGCTATGATAACCAGCGCGGTATCCGCCGGGTAGCCGTGGCATCTAAGGTACTCTCTGGTTTTATCCTACGGAGGTTGACTGAAGAGAGATTCGTGAAAACAAGTCGGATTCCGTCACACAAGGGGGTGCATGGATCACATTTTCACCCTCTGAGACTCTGGACCAGCGACACTGCTTCTGGAAACCAACAATGGTTACCTTCATTGGCCTGAAAGCTCTTTTGACTCTGTGGACCACCAGGCTCTATGGCAGTGTCCGTGGAGCGAAGGTGCCCCCCATAAGTTGCTGACAATCCTTAAGGCGCTACACGCCAACTCCCGCGGCCATGTGAAGGTCTGTGGGAAGCTTCTGACTGAGATCACCACATTAAGTGGTTTTAGACAAGGCTGCACTCTCCATCTTTCCTTCTCAACTTCGTCACTGATGCGATTATGGAAGACTCACTGCCAGCCTCTAATGTCTGTGGGGTCGAAGTGCTCCCGGGGCATTCGCTTGCAGAAACCAATTACGCAGACGACGAGGCTCTTCTCAGATCTGGCGCCACTAATATATACAATTTTAGTTGTCCAAATAAATTTGCCTTACGGTTTGACATGTGGTTCACATCCGCGAAGTGTAAAGTGATGCTGCAAGGTTGGGTGGGCTCGAACCCTAGCCTCATGCTTGAGGATGAACCGATTAAGGCAGTAGACAAATCTGTTTACCTAGGAACCTGTATTAGCCCCGGTGGTCTCGCTAAAGATTATATTTCCATCTGGATTGGGAAGGCCAAACCAGCTTATCTGCCGAGGATCGATGTCACAATGATGCGGCGTGATCCACATGATTATACGGGTCAGAAACGTGCCACTGTGCACCGAGGACGTCAAAAATCTCTTGCTGTTTGATAGTGTTGCATCCGGAGCATTGTTTGAGTCCGCTAGGAAGAGAAGTATGGAAGCCATTACCAGCAAACTCAGTTGCACTAGCCATTACTATCTGTATAGATGGGGACGCCGAGACAGGGCACATTAATGGTTAGACATTGTTAGACAGTCCATGCACGCCCACAATGGCGCGCACACACCCAAGTTGCTGCCTTCAGTGCACAGTTTCCCTTCCAATCCCTCTAAAGAAAAGTCCACAGCATTTCCTTACAAATTATGTCAACTACCGCTTCCAAAGCGACGCTACCTAACCCATCTCCCCAAATCGTCGGTGAACGAAACTGTGGCAGCTTCAACCACTGCACGCTTCTTACAGCCGACAATAATGATGACGAATCAGGTTGCAGAATTCCCTTGTAAAAGGTACGGATGAACAGGAGGAAGGACCAAGTAAACGGAAGAGGCTTTGGTCCCGTAGGGTTCAGTTTTCGACCCCATGCTGTCTAGTACATGTCTGGTACATGTCACTAGCTGGAACATATGTGAAAATAAGAGTATCACTATTACCACAACTTTCAATTCTTTTTTGTGAACTATGAGGAGTTTATGAAAGGCTCCGTAGGAAATTAATAATAATTTGGTTTATATGCGACTGTATAGTTGCGACTGTATAGTTATACATAGCCGCTGGATGGCGCATTAGGTATCACTGATTTGTGTCAACAACACTCGCATCACATGCATGTAGAAACCGTGTAAGTCACCGAGGATTATACTTAAAAAAAACATTACACCTTAGGCAAAGGCGTGGTGCAACTGGAACAAGCAGTAAAAAAACGCTGTTGCAGTGCACATAAACCAAAGTAAGGTTATATTTGTCATTAAAATCCCACGAAGCCCTTCATGAACTCCTCATAGGTCACAAAAATGAAAAACCGAAAAGTTGTGGTAATGGTGATATTCAAAATAGTACGTTATCGGACTCAACCCTCCATAACATTTGTAGTACCGGCAAGTGTGATGGGACTTATCACCTGACCTCTCGAAATATTTGCCAAACAAGACTATGAGTAACTTAAAAGAGTGACGTGTAAATTACAGATGCCTAAGAATTCGGCATTTTTGTCGACCAGTCCTTTATGCTACCCATACGTGTGGCCGCTAACGAACCACGTGATACCCATTCACAAGATTATGCATATAAAAATTGACTTACAATTTTAGTTGTTTGAGTGCATCTGCTAGGTCTTCCGGTTTGTGTCGCTTCACTCGCATAGCTCGGAAGATAGCTCAGCGAGTGAACCGGTACTCATCGGACGACCAAAAATGAACAGAAGTGAACAGGGTTACTCGTCCGGGGCAAATGCGAGCCAGCCCACCAAATGTACCGCAGATTTCAACTACCCCGGGTAGTATGCAGGTCAAACTCAGTTTATCGGACCAATGGGCTCAAGGGGTTTTTGAGGATTCCGTAAACTTGTGAAGTCTTGGTGATACACGTCCGGCGAAAGGAAGGCCGCGTCAGTGGTGATGGAAAATGGTTGCTGTTAACGTGGGGCTTCCTTGTAACTATGACATATTCACTAAGAATTAGCCTTTGTCCAGACCCTAAAGATGACAACACGTTAACAAGTGACATG